CATCTGCCTGCGGGTTCCACAGGACTGTTTGTCCTTGACTAAACAAATGTTATTCGAGCCCTTCTGTCATCAGACAACACAAATAGTATCGTAGCTGAACGTGTTTGTTATGCAGTTCTGCGAGTGATGCTGAAGCTTTCGGATGTGCTGAGGTTTTGGATGACCGTTAATAAAAACATGTATAAAAAATATATATATATCTCCTAATGTGCAAGATTCCTTGCAGCTGTATAACAGTAGTCATTACAGGCAGCTAAAGCTCAAGTCTATAACAGGCACATTTAGATGTTATTTTTACATAGTAAAAGATATTTAATAAAACTTGGGGCTTTTAGTATCTTTTGATAATTGCATGCAGTTTAACAGTATCTCCTCTTGTATTTAGTGTATTGTCATTTTTTCTCCCTCTTCTCCCCCCACCAAAATTGTGGTGCCTTTCTTAAGTGCTCTAGCACCTTGATTGTAAGAAAAAGACCATTAAACATCTGTAAACACCCCCCCTCCCAAGTGTGCCGCTACCAAGTCTTTGTTTGAAAGTTCTAACGTGTTACCCTGGTCTAGAGAGGCCCTGGCTCTGACAGAGGGATTAGAGGAGCCCACATTAAGTGTTTATAGCAACTGTTTGTCATGTGTGTCGTTGTCGAGACAGGATTGTCCCCAGTGAGCCTGGTGACAGGAGACACGTCAGCATTGTTGGAGTGACTGTGCGTGTTGGCAGTCTCCGCTGGCTGGGGGCACAATTAACTGGTGCTGGTGGCAGCATCACGCTTGTCAGGAATCCCTTTTGGGCCGTCAAGTTCCTTCCAAAGAAAAGGTAACAGATAATCAGCTCGAGCTCCTCTGGGCTTCATTCAAGAGCAGCAGCGCTGTGTGGTGAAGGATTGGGAATGTAGGGTGAAAGGAAGGAGGCACAAGGAGCAGTGAAGGGCAAAGTAGGAGCGGCGGGGCTGGAGGGTGAGAGAGGAAAGATCGGTCTCTGCCGTTGGCTATGGCACCGCAGTACGTTCATGAGGTTTTCTGCAAGAAGCTTCCCAGTGTGCAGCTCTGTCCTGTGTGTTTGGAGGTGCACTGGAAGCCCCCCCATAGCCTGCGTTACTCATTTTCTACTTCGGATGCAAGCAGCCAAATCGCTGCCAAGGTCAAAATTTGTTGCTGCTCTCAAATGGATGGGGAGTCCGCTTGAAGGGACCGTTTAGAAGGGAGTCACAAATCACCTCAGCAATATTCCATTTCATAGATTTACTTTGTCTGGTGACTGAGATTCCAGTGAGGAATGGGCATTTCATGGGCTGAGAGTCTCATGATTTTTCTAAACGGCTTCATGGCTGCTTTTCCAATTTGGGAATATGCGTGTGCGCGTGTATGCGTTAAAATAAATGAAAATGTTTCTATGATGATAAGTAGGTATTAGTGGAAGACACTTTTCATGCCTTATCTAACCATACGTGAAAGAAAAAGAAGTGTGAAAAAGCCTCCTTCTTGCATCGCTGTGAGTCTCCTGCTTCTGCTGATTCATGTCTGCATTAGGACCACACGGGCAATTGCTCGCTGTCAGTTCTTTGTTCAGGCAGCCCCTGGTAAATATACTTGTTTTGATGAAACAAGAGCTGGGAAATGAAATTAATTAGGTGGTGCCTTCTGGAGAGGCACAACTGGTGTTTTTCGTTAGTGCGAAAGGGATGTGGGGGAGCAGAGGAGGGAGAGGTTGATTCCGTGGCTTATTTCAGTTATTGTGCACATTATTGGGTTCTTCCTGACAATTCCTATGAAGCAGCCTTTCCGCTCTGCAGCTTTTTAGTTAAATAATCTGTAAGAGTAAAGAGGAGGAAACACTGGTCTGTGCGGCCCTGTGAATAGAGCAGTCTGAGAAGGTGTTTGGTTCACCCTGCAAGCGGGATAGTAGATCTACTGTCTGCCACTGCCCTGTGGCCATTTCTCCTCTGGTGTGGAGGAGATGCCTCCCAGGCACAAAACAAAACCATTTTTCAAAGTCTTTTACCTCTCTCCAGTTTACCTCTTTTTTTTCCCATCTGTTTTCTTTGTTGGCATTACAGCCTGGACATGAAATCAAAGGCCAAACTCCTCTGAGAGCCAAGGGGATCTGTTGGTCTGTTTAATTTAACCTGTCGTGGCACAGAGTGGGAGCCAAACGCGCTGCACAAGCAGGCACTGCGTGTGCGAGAAGGCGCCGTACCCCACCAGTGCTCCCACGGGTCCGACCGGCACTGCCAGCCGCCGTTCGGAGTCCGAGCTGGATCAGTGCTGCCCGACGCGTGGGGTTGGTGTTCTGGTTGGTGCCGCCTCGTTCTCTCTTAGGATGTAAAGTGAATGTTTGAACATTGTCTGTCCGGGAGCAGACACCTATTACCTGCTGTCCTAGTCCCTGCTCTTATGTCCCCGGCAGAAACGGGGATTGCTGTTTGAGGAGCCATTATAGGAGAAGGCATCTGAGCCAAATGGGCTGAACGTCAGCAAGAGTTGCAAATAATCCTGCGGATACACAAAGTCAAGAGGAAGCCATCAGTGAGTACAGTGTCCTCTTTCTGTTCAGAGCAGGGTGGAAGCAAAGACGAGCCAAGGTTTGTGCACTGGCCTGGAGAGTCGCATGATCAGCTGCTTCGATGGCTGTACACCACTGAGCAGCAGGAGTGGTGCGGAGGGGAAGCGATTTTTTAGTTTGGATGCAGAAGTTTTACTGTAGTTCTTGTGCTCGTTTTCTCCTATGCAGGATTATCTGGTGGTTTTCTTGAGACACTGTCACCACTTGAAGGTTCAAAAGTTTCCTTGTAGAGCTGCTCATTGGGGTTTTTCAGATTACCACAGCTTAATTTTGGAGTGACAAATGTACTTACTCAGAAGCTGCCCTGCGTGCAGCCGTTTGTAGTGTTTTGGGATGAATGGTGGCCTGAAGAATGAAGAAATTATGATTTATATTAGTAGTGTCTCCAAAGTGTCAGTATGTGGACATAGAGATTTTCTTCAGAACCCTTCAATTTCTTCAGTGTGTATCATCATCTGTCATCAGTCGCTCGGCCTGGCCTTAATCCGATAGTCCTTGAACTGTAAAACGCTTCAAGTCATTTGCCAGCCAGTCGGCTATTGAGCGTAGACACGATAGATTTCTTTATTTTCTTCCTTTAAATTTTGTCATTTAATCATAAGAGTGTGTCCACATATAAAACTGGCAACAGGCACCATGTCACCAACGCAATACAAAGTTTGGGAAATGTCTGGAATGAGGAACGCTTCCTTCCCATCCCTTGCCAAAATAGGTGTTTCTTAGATGGATGATCAGATTGTCTGTCCAGCCTCGTGCTCTGACAGGCACACACTGCAATGGATCTCGGCAATGCGGTATTTGCTCTCCTGTGGTGTTAGCACAGCTAGGAAAGGATGTCATTGCATCTGATCAGCGTAAACCAAGGTCCTCCTTAATGGAAAACATCCCAGTGCGCCTCATGCAGTCAATTCTGTTTTGCTGGGCTTAATACTGGTGGGGTCTTGTTGTTTCAGTCTGTTTGGGGCCAGATGAACGTCTCATTGCTGTTCACCGTAAAGCAAAGACGACTGGCAAGAACAGGAATACATTTATAGCTCCATGCATGCATTTAAACACAAACTAGAAGAAAAGTAACTAAGACAGACTCTTCCCATTCTTGTTAGAACACCCTTCTGTAGCCTTAGCTTTTCTGAAGCAGATGGAAGAACATAACCATAAATAAGTCTGTAGAAGACGCTGAAGTATTTACGTGGCATGGGACGCGCACCCAGTGGCAACTTCCTTTCAACAAGAAACACAGATGAAAGCTGTCTGCAAACGTTGTATGTAGTTAAAATTCCATATCCCGCTTCTAAATCCTAATTTTGCATGCAATAAAGGCTCCCGATAGCAGATGGAAGTATTAACCACGTTTCGGAAAGAATGCCGTCAGGCTGCTGATCGCTCCTCAGCTGGCAGCGTCTCTGCCCCGCAGAGGGAGCGTGTAAGCCCTGCCACCTGACACATAAAGCCTCCAGGATTTTGAATATCTCGTCCAAGGCCACTGTGAGCCTCCTGTGTCCCTCGTGCAAAAGGCAGAGGTGGATACCCAGCCATTTGGTGTAAAAAAAGGGATCCTAAGGGAAAAGCTTTGTTAAGTGATGTAGGAGGAAAATAATTCAATAGATCTGGATGACGTTACAAAAGAAAAGCAGCTTCCTCTCCTGAGACTCTGGGAGAATGCTGCGATTTCACATCTCGGACACGATGGGCTTTGGTCCCCGTCTGCCCGAATATGAATTGTGCCTGTATCACAAACGCTTGAAGTTTTTCTCATGCTTACCAAATCCCTGGATGTTTTAAATTGTTTGTGGATACACCAAGTATTTAAATGAGCAGGGTTGTCAGGGTGTGTAATGATGGGATGAAAAATGTCAGGGATGGGTACGAGCAACGTACTGAAAGCAGATTGCCCCTCTTCAGTCTGTCACCAGTGGTGGAAAAATGTAAATAGTGTGTCCGTGGACTGGGATTTTCAGGGGGTGCAGAAACCTAATGCCTTGCACTGCAAATTAGAGGGTTAAGGGGTGGGGGGAACTAGTACACGTGTGTCTAAAGCAAACAAACAAGTAGAGCCCCTTGTTTATAGCCAGCACTGCATCCCACAGATCAGTCTGTAGAGAAAATTGGCATCGGATCATCCAGGCTGATGGACTTGGAAAGGGGGTAGGGCTGTCGAACT